AAGGGTTTTAGTTGGCTGCCCTGCTGGACAGCTACAAAAGTAGAATTACCTGGGCCAATCCCCTGCTCAGTGCTGCGCTTCCACCTGCATCCCTTCTTTTACTTCAATCTGTCTTTTATTACAGGGAGGACACCTACTGAGACCTTGAACTCTGGCGCTGGTGTCATGGTGAGGAGGTTGGGGGGATCAGATGGTTGGGAAGGGATAACTGTATTCTGGGCCCTTTTCCCTCTGCCGCCATTCACCCCCCTGCAACTGAGGAACAAAGGAGAGGGGAAGTGTGGAGCACCCCTCATCCCTGCCCCAGGGGACCTAGGGACATCTTTCCGTGTATGACCTCTAGAGGGAACTGGTATGGGAAGAGGGTCCCACAGAAGATCTCAGGGCTCTGTGCTTAATTCCAGAGTCTGTCTGCAGAGCAGGGCTCCTTCAGGGCCATCCCTTATGAGACCTACTAAAAGCACTTGCAGCTGTATAACTTTGAATTAAGATTCAACCGAGTTAAAGACTGAGTTTCTCAGTCACTCTAGTCCCATTGCTGAGGCTCCTTTTTTTGAAAACTGAGTCATGGACCATTCCCATCATTACAGAGAGCTCTGTTGGACAGTGCTGTTCTGGAGAATTCTGAAATTAAAAGGCCATAAAGTTTTCAGATGCCGTGGAAGTCCTACCTTCACAGGTATAAAAGATTATTAAATTCTTACATAAGTCTTGGGAAGGGTTGTAGGGACTTCACAGAAATTAAAAGGTCAAGTCCAAATTTGTGATGCCATAAATAAGGAGTTTAGGAAAAACTGTTTAAGCTGGGAAGGGCAGGCTTTGCTGTCACACATCAACGGAGTCGCAAAGACAGCCAAAACTTACACTTTAGGATTTGTCTGTATGGTAAAAGAAAGTAAAATGCTTTCAGCTTGGTTGGCCGTATGATCTCTCTTGCAACTACTCAGTTCTGCTTTTGTAGCATAAAAACAGCTGTAGATGATATGTAAACAAATGGATGTAGTTGTGTGCAGATAAAACTTTATTTACAAAAACAGGTAGAGTGCTTGGTTTGTAGCCCTCTTGTATAGAGAGAGCTCCTTGTCTGAATGTCCTGGTGCTGGGTTTCCCTTCCCCAGTGATAACCAGTCACCTTAACAGTGGTGGGTGGTGATTGCTGAGCCAGAATGTGTATGCTGTTTTAGGAATCAGTCACCTTTGAGGATGTGGCCGTGGGGCTCATCCAGGAGTGGGCATTGCTGGATGATGCGCAGAGGAACCTGTGCAGATACGTGATGCTGGACAACTGCAGGACCCTGGCCTCCAAGAGTAAGACTGGCCTCACATGGTTCCTTCCTGTAGGCAGGCACCAAATGCTTCTTCGAGTGCATGATGGGTGAACAAGACCGACGTGGTTTAGGCTTTGTGGGGTTTATTGTCCACCGGCTTCCACAGGATCACAAAGCTCCATCATTGCACTGACTTCATTGTCTCCATTCCAAGGACCTGTGTGGGTCTCACAGAGCTTGGCCCTTGACTTCAGTCCCTGCGGGCAGAGAGGAGTGTGCTTGTGGTTTGGGTCCTGGTGAAAGAGCTTTACTGAGTTTGTCAGTAACTGGGCACGATCACTTTGTTCCCCCTCATGCTTACTCAGCTTTACAATCCGAAGCCCACGTTGAAGCTGGGCCTGGGTAACCTGGGTAAGGGTCTATTTTCTTCTGCAAGCCGTCTCTCTCTCAGCATGTGTGTCTTTCTTCACGAGCAGGAACTCCATCATGCAAAGCCAGGCTGTCCTCCCAGCTGGGGTCAGGAGCAGAGGCAAGGGCAGCGGAGCGAGGGATTCTCCACCCCACGGGTGTAGGTGAGTACTGGGCAGGCCTTGTGATCCACCTGGTCAGGGAGATGTGTCCTGGGAAGTATCAGTCTAAGGGCATTTATATTTATTTATTGACAGCTTGCTGGTATAGGGATCGAGCCCTGAACCTTGGTGTTATCAGCACCGTACTCTAACCAACTGAGCTAACAAGCCAGCCTTTTAAAATTTTTATTTATTTATTTATTTATTTATTTATTCATTTGTTCATTTTTTGGTGAGTCTGAGAGCATTTTTAAAGGCCCCCCTTTTTTTTTCTGAGGGGAAATCTAAGGCTCTTTGAGGTGAGGTTTCTCAAGTTCCTAAAATTTTTATTTATTTATTTATTTATTTATTTATTTATTTATTTATTTATTTATTTATTTGTTCATTTTTTGGTGAGTCTGAGAGCATTTTTAAAGGCCCCCCCCTTTTTTTTTTCTGAGGGGAAATCTAAGGCTCTTTGAGGTGAGGTTTCTCAAGTTCCTATAGCTTTTCTTCTGTTTTTGTTTTCTAGGCCTCCTCTCATACTTTCCTTTGGTCTCAGAAAAAGATCTGTTCCAGTCTTTCTTTTTTAACCAAATTGAGATATAATTCACATACTATTAAGTTCAACCTCTTAAAGTGTACAATTCAGTGGCTTTTATTATATTCACAAAGTTGTGCTATCATCACCTCTGTCTAGTTGCAAAACATTTTCATTATCCCAAAAAGAAACCTCTTATCACTGTTAGTAGTCACTCGCCAATCTCTCCTCTCCCTAGGCCCTGGCAACCATTAATCCACTTTCTGTCTTTATGGATTTGCCTATTCTGGACATTTCATATAAATGGAATCATCTAATATGTAGCCTTTGGTATCTGTCTTCTTTCCCTCAGCATAGTGTTTTTAAGATTCATCCACATTGTAGCATGAATTAGTACTTCATTTCTTAAAGCTGAATGATATCCAATTATATGGATAAGCCATCTTTTGTTTATCTGTTCATCTATCAATGAACATTTGGGTTGTTTCCATTGTTTGGCAATTGTGAATAATGCTGCTGTGAACG